ATAACTGACTATTAAAGGATGAAAAATTTTCAGATTTTGATGTCATTCTAGGGTCTTTTTTTTGTCCAAATCCATGAATTTATTTTGCTCATGCTAAGTCTAAAAAAAAAAAAAAACCTATATAAAATTCACTATTTCTTATCCATGATGTTGAATGTGTTAAAATTATTCAACTTTTTAGCAACAAAAATCTCAAGTTGATGTTAAAAATTGCTACAAAACATTGTTGATTTATTTTAAGATGTAATGATCTATTATGACAGGTCTCTAATTTGTATTTAAATACATTGGATTTATTTTCAATTTTTCTATTTAAATTGTTCACCTGTATTGCATACAATCCATTATTGTACATAATTAGGTTACAATTAAATTTTTATTTTATATGAATACTACCTTATTAAAATTGAGATGTAGTAGAGTGGGGGCCCCATATCATAGATTCAAGGAGAGGGACACACATGACCTTCGCACCAGTCCTGCCTCCCTTCTACCCAGAACTAATACCTAATATGTCAACCCACCGAAAATAAAGTGAGTAAAAGAAACCTGAAGGGAAATTGTCTGTCACTGATTGAGTCTGTTGATGTTAGGGTCCTTAATGAAGAATTGCTGATAGATCATTAGAATACTGAGATGACATGAAACGCAACAATAACAAAGAATTTTAAAATATTAAAGTACTTTCATTTATAAATATTTTGAAAATAAATATTTTAAAGATTAATTTTGGAGTTAATATTGTCTTTTTAATTTTTAACAACTCCAAACTCTAAAATGTATTTAAAAAAAAAAGCAATGATAAACTTTCCAAACAAAATAATATTTTATTTTCTACATTTCTGACTGAAGTTCTGAATAAAATTTTAAACAATTTTTCTGGGGATTTATCTTTATAGAAAAGTAAATATTTTGAACTTTTAAATATTATATGGAGATTGTATAAAATTAAATGAAATGGGGTTTGATTGATTTAAAAAATTACTTTCACAAATTTTTCTTACAAAATACTCATTTCATAAATAAATTAATTCATACTGAAATCCAAGCAAATGTACCAACAGTCAACAGACAACCGGGCTAACCTATTCTCGTTAAATATTGCAAACAACTGATATTATTGCCATGAAAATGAACACAGGACCTGTTAGTGGAATGTTGCTCACTTTTGACCCTTGTTTTTGACACTGTTCCCTTATCCCACTATATGAGGGTTGTGCAATATTATCTCAGAGAAACTGACCAAAATATTTCATAACAGAAAAATTAATTTTCCATTATGATCCAAGGTTATGTTATTAACTCTGTGTTAGTTCAAGTAGGTGTTTTGTTACCCCAAAACCTTTAAAGTACTTGTAATTCCTAGTTGGCAACCTGTTTCTTTTGTTTCTCCCACACCTCTCCTGACTCAGTGAGGGCATGTAACATGCAGTGAGGCACAGTTGCAGCTCAGTTGTCATGGGAGCTAGATGCCAGGGGACTATCTATTTTTTCAGAAATCCAAATGTGACTAATGTAGGGTCAAGTAAGCTTAATAATATTTATGATGAATTTCCCATCATTGAGGTAGGTGTGCAGTTGCTCATCATATATACCCAGAATATGTACATACACCCAGAATATGTACATACACCCAGAATATGTACCTCTGGTTGACTGGTTTCATTTTCTTTCTCATTGTTTTATATATTTCCAAATCTGTTCATGTCAGAGAATGAATGAGATTTGAAATTTCAGCAACTTAATATCCTATTGCTTAGCTTAATATGCCATACCACTAATATGGGAAACCTTGGCTTCAACAAACGCCCATTAGGTGGCACTATTTAAGTCTATAAAAAGACAAATATTTCCTTCCTCTAAGATGTAGTAGTATGTATAAAGATGTTCCCGCTAGGGCACGTTCGTTTCCTTGGTCTACCGACGCCTGAACTCTCACAGACACACACATACATACACACGTGTATCACACATGCACATCACACAAACAAGCACATCCTTAAGAATATTGTTTCCTTTCCTTTAAACTGTGTACACATTAATGTAATTTCTGTTTGTTATTATATAAATTGTTTGTTTCAAATGTTAAAAAATATATGTGTGAGAAAGTGATCCAGTCAAATTCATTACACCCACTTACATGCTAATACCCTCGGGAAAGGTATGATTCTTCTTCTTCTCCCCCCTGTTATAGGTAAATAGCAGGACAGACGGGGTTCTATAGCCGTGGATGGCAACTGGTCTACTGCAGAAAGAAATGGCAACCTACTGCTGGAAAAATTCTGCCTCGTCAGTCATGTATAGAAAGATACATGATCGCCTAAGAGTGTATCACGCATGGCACAATACTGACTGACTGAGAAAGTAATATATACATTTTTATATACCTGAACAATAGGTGAATTAACTACAAAGTCTAAAAATACACCACGGAGAAAAAAACTTTTTCACTTTGTCATTAATTTTCCTATTTACTTTTGAGTTTCTCCATTACTATCACTGTCCTTTTTACACAGTTTTACTACACTATGTGATCGCCAGTGATTAGTTGTATTACAGGTGATATGAGACTGCGTGAGTGAGGGTGTGAGGCCGGGTGATTATTACGACAGAAAAGGTAGCTTATTTTAAAAATCAGAGTGATTGAAAGTTAAGTTTGAACTGCACGGAATTCATAATTTGACAAATTTGAAATTTTAAAGATTTTAATTTAGATTAATTTTTAAATTAGATTTTAATTTTAAAACCTAATAGCCTAATAAATCAATCAATAAAGAATTGACTTTTTAAATCAGATTATTAATTAAAAAGAAAAAAAAATTCTTCGTGACCTGATCATATTTTAATTTATTGACTGATTTTTTTAAAAAGAAAGATGAAAAAAAACAGCACTTCAGTAAGCAATCCGACCAGAAATAATAATAATTTTTTTTTTATTGCTACATAGAAACAGATTAAGTATGCACTCAGATCACGGATATCAAAAAAAAGGAAAAATTTTAAAGTTAATAATAATAATAAGTGGGGCGGGGGGATCTATTTTGCCATGTCAATTAATTTTAATTGTAAAAATGATACCCCAAACTAAAAGAAACCAAAACAAATATACTCATAAAACGTGTTTTCTTAAAATAAAAAAAAAAAAAACTGAAATTCATAATTTGGCGTGCTTAAAATCATTTTTTTAAGATCATGTCGGATGAGCACATTTGTTTTGTATTCTGTAGGAGGGGGTCAATTTACAATCAATTTAATTTACATAGCAAACTGCAGAACCACCTATTAACATTTATAAAATTTAATAAAAATATTTTTTTATATTCATGATCTGGAGTGCTTATAAAAATAAAAATATTATTTATGGTTGCAGTGCCTGTTTTACGTTTCCCTGCAAAGAGAGAGAGAAAGAAACAAACAAAAAAAAAAAAACTAAAACGAAAAACAACGAACAATAAGGATCTGAAGTAGGATACTTAAATTAAATAAAATATTAATAACAGAAGAAACAAATAACTGCGTTTCCAATGGAATTTATGATTAGAAAAAAAAATTATTTAAATCTTTATTGATTAGGATGCCAAGTGTCTAACAATTTAACCCGGGTTTGTGGTGAGTTGTTTACTTGTAGTTAATTGACATTATTTTAAAAAAATAACAGTAAATAGGCGAAAATTAGATGCTGAAGAGAGAGAAAAAGTGTGATTATAAAAAATAAAAATCTGATGTAGGTAATATTTGTTTTACCTCAGATGTTGATTGAAAGTAAATTTCACGTTGTAAACCGCCAAAACATTTAAAAATCTGTCTTTCCTAAGCAACACTCAAAGTTTCTGACTTCTTTTACCTCCGTCAACAAAAGAGTTCACTTCACGTGATAACATTCTCTTGGGTTACAAATTCTATTTTGCACTTAGCGAGGAAGTTTGTTACTAAATAGATACTTGTACTTGTTTTCAATTGTGTACACGTGAAATTGATAGGAATCTCTAGTTAGTATAAAAAATATTTCTTAAGGAAAATATTTAAAATTTATATTTCCCTGAATGTCCTTTCACTACGCAGTGTGTGCTTTGACTCGGCACATTTAAGCTTTAAAAATTGTATTTTATTTTTAAGTGCCAAGTTGTTGACAATTATTATTGTCATACCTTTTTTTTTTAAGTAGGCAAAGTAAATATTTATTTATATTTCAGTCAATTTTATTTTTAAGGAAGTGGTTGCATGATAATTTTTATTTTTTTCCACGAATATTTTTTCAGCTGAATTAATTCTTTACTGGATGCTGAAAAATTCTCGGCCGACCAAGAAAATTATTATGCTTGGTCATTGTCAGATTTGTTGGGGGAGCGAGTCGGACCGAGAAATTTTCAGTACCCCTTCTATACAGGAAAAATTAGAAAGAAAAAATCAAAGCTGTCTTTAAACTGAATGATAGTAGCCGCGGCGTATAGGAACCGTATTGAAAGTTAGTAAGGAATTTAAAAAAACAACAAGGGAAAGCTCATGGCATGTTCATGACATAAATCCTCGACTGTTTACATGTGCAATATAGATCGCACATTGAAAGCTGGTGCTAATAAAATAGCGTTCGATGTTTAACAGAACTATAATTAAATAATTTATAATAATTTAATATACATCAGGTCAGGTACGACCGGTGAGGGGAAAAAATGTAAGTAGGTAGACAAAATTTCACTGAAACTTGTCTACCAGTCTGATCAACTCTCGATATGTAGTCGAGTGTTCTTCTTACTACCCTTAACTACACATTTAATGATTATTGCAAGAACATTTGTCCTAAAGTTATTCATATAACGAGACTCCAACCTAGCAGAGGGAATAGCCTAAATATTTTATGCTCTGACATCCGTCTTTTACCTGCAAGTGCTATTAATCGTAGAATAATAGTCGAGAAGGAATAATAAAACGAATGCGTATTGGAATAACCGATCTTACTTCCGTTCATTCATTGAAAACACTCACGTGAAATATTCCAATGAATGATAAACATTGTTTATTATTACACAATGTTTTATATTTCTTTATTAATTTTCATTTCGTTTCCAGGACTTTTACAGGCTTGTGGTAGCCTTACACATGCCGAAATAGGTACGATATGAACATTTATTTTAATTTTTCTTCATTTCCCTATTTGTTTAATGTTTTTAAAAAGCAGAAGCTTTACTTTTCTCTCGGGTACGCAAAATTGAAAACACCCCCATCCTTCTTATTGAGGGTAAATAAAATTGATAAAAACGTTCGAAAAAAATTATTTATTTCTGGATAAGTTACCTGTATTTAAAATTGCTTTAAAAAAAAAATCAATAACTTTGTTTTCATTAGTGAACTCTTTTTTTTTTTAATTTTATTTTAAATTCAGTTAGTGACGAAATCGTTTTTTCAATTTTTGGAATAGAACATTTTAAAATTTAAACTAAAGTGAAACTATAAAAAGTTTTTAATAAATTTTATATCGTTTTACAACAATATTACTTTTTTTAGTTTTATTTAAAGAACATTCTATCCAAATACAAAAACTAGTCTTGAAGTGACAAAAACGTTTGCCTCCCCACCCCTAACAAAAGAAAGAAACCGTTAATTTTAATTTTTAGATGTTTATGTTTATTGTTTGTAATAAAAAAAACTGTACTTTTCTAACACGCACATGACATAAAAGAAAAATTGGAGACACTTCGATGTACGTAAACTTTTACGTTATAACATTCGCATGAAGAATTAAAAAATGGTTTTCTTGCGAAAGATTCGATTAAAAAAAATGAGCATACTTGATGAAAAAAAATGTCCCAAAAAAACTTAGTTTTATCGTTAAACAAAATCTTCATTAAGGATATTTTTTTTATAATAAATGATATCTTTTAATCTCTACTTTTAACTTAGAAAGTTAGTCTTCAAAACTTTTTTTCGTCCGCTGGTGGCCATAATGTGGAAAATTTTAGCATATTTTTGCGGTATAAAAAACAAAAAAAACACCAACACAATCTCATTGATTTGATAATTTCTTGCAAAAGTCAGATAAGATTAGAATTTAATAAAACTTGCAGGACTTCACGCATGAATGAAATTATTTTAGAAATTATTTTCTTACTTATTTTAGAAAATCTTTGTACAAATTATATTTCATCTGTTAGTTATCCTCTACTTATTTTTATGAAATTTCAATTTTTTTTTTTTTTTTTTTCAGCGCTTTGTTTTTTAGCTATAAGCTAAGCACAAATTCTTCGATGATTTAAATTTTAGATCGTTTTTTTATATACCAGGACCCCCAGTGGCAGAAAATTTTCTCTGAAACGTAAAATTATTGTGACTGTAAGAAATTCATTTATTATTATTTATTTATTTTATTTATATATATTATTATATATATATATATATATATATATTTTTTTTTTTTTTTTCGATGAATTTTGAATTTTTTACAAGAATTTTCATTTAAAAAAATTAATTATAATAATTCATAAAGTTCTTAAAATTCCGTATTAATTTGTAGTGGTTAGTTTAGCGTTAGGTGATATTGTATTGTTGTTAAGTAATAAAATCTATATTTTTTTACTAAATCATAAAATAAATGGAAACACTTAAAGACTTATTGTAATTTAGCGACCCGACCCCCAGTATTTTAAAAAAAAGAAAAAAGAATTTCGAATTTTTTTCTTTGTGTGTGTAAACGTGCCGTTTTTTTTTTTTTTTTTTTTGTAAATAACGACGTTCATACACGCCTTTATCAGAAAATAAGACTGGTAAGTTTAAATTTAAAATTTTTTGGTAGTTTTCTAACATTTACTCAACAAGCGTCTTTGTAAATAACTAAGTCAAAGTACCTAAAATTCAATCATAAAATATCACATTATTTAGGATATTTTCCTGAAGGTTTATAAGATTACTGGGTAGTTAGAAAAAAATCTTATAAAAAAGGCACACAAGTTATATTTGCCAACTAATTTTTACAGTTATATTCCCCCCCCCGTGGAAAAAATTCCCAAACATATTTCTATTAAGAGAGTTGTTAGCACCTCATGAAAACACCCACCTCCTTGCCAAAAATGCTTTTCTGTGATATTTTAAACTAAAAGTAAGTAATATTTGTTTGAAATCTCTTAAAAATCCAATATTTGTTCTAGAGATGTGTTTCAAAGTAAATTAGTACATTTAGTTAACTAGATTTTGTAAAACTAATGCTAACTTTTACTTAAAATGCAAAAAAAATAGGTTCACATGCTCCTGTGCATAAATAAGCCTACCAGGATTCATCATTGGCGACCACAATCTTAACAACATAAGGTATGCAGATGAGACAGTGCTGATATCAGACATGGAAAGGAAACTACAAAATCTCCTACAGAAAGTAGAAAAGGAGAGTGAGAAAAAGGGACTAAGCATAAATTACAAGATAGAATGCATGGTCATCAGCAAGAAGATGAGCCTAAAATGAAATTTTACATATTGAGGACACTAAAATCAAGCAGGTACAGAAATTTAAATATCTAGGAGGTGTTCTGGCAGAGGATAGAACATGTGACATTGAGATCTGAAGATATATAGGGATAGCCAAAGATGCATTCCAAAAGCTAAGCGGAGTATTAAGAGACAGGAAAGTTTCATTGGAAACAAAGAAAAGAGTACTGGACTGTTATGTGATATCTGTCCTCCTGTATGGTAGTCAATGCTGGACAATCTTCTCAAAGATGAAGAAGAGACTTGAGGGAACAAAGGTGTGGTTCTACAGAAGGATGCTAAGGATACCATAGGCTGAATATGTCAGCAATGATGAGATTTTGGAGAGAATTGAAACAAAGAGGAAACTTATACTTAACATCAGGAAGAGGCAGTTGAAATTTCTGGGACACATAATGAGGAAGGTGGGCTTGGAAAATCTGATACTCACAGGACAGCTTGAGGGACAGAAGAAAACATATTTGATGAGCTTCAGAAAATGGATAGTAGAACAGGGTTTGGGAGAAATAACAAAAAGACAAAACTTATAAAACATTGTACTCAATGTGGTCTTTTTAATTATTCTGAATTTAAGAGTTATTTAATTATCATATATTACTCTTCTAATAGGAAAGAGTAAAGGTGGTAATTCAGACTTATAAATAAGTAAATTTAAAAAAAAACAAAAAACGAATATTCAGTATAATTTTTTCCCCTGTCCAATCTAAAAGAAAATTTGCTTTTATTAAATTATGCAGGCACTAAATCTCAACAAAAGTCATTTTTTGAGTTTTATTGAATTATTTTTGGGAAAGTTTGTGACAAATTTCACACATGATATTGCATAAATTATTTACTGAAATAATATCTTCAAGGATCTTCATGTAACTTGTAAAAAATAATTTTGCAAACTTCCTTTCCAAATTAAAAGTACAAAGGAAATATTAAAAACTGACCCCAAAACATTTTCACAAAGTTTTCTAATAAAATGATCCATTTAATAAGTACTGAACATTTTGTTTACATTGAATAATATTTTTAAAAACTGGGTAACATTTTTTGCTTTCATTTCATGGTACCTATAACTTTCATAAAATCTTATTGAATCAAAAAATTATATTTGTAAACTAGCAGTTATATATAATTAAAGATAATTTATTTTTAAACATAAGCAATATCAGTTTCTATATTCTAATAGTTTTCATTATCTGTTCAATTTCCTCCTTTGTACTTTATGCTGTTGGTGCATATACAACTACAATGGATATGTTAAAAGGTTTCTCTTTCAGTTTAACTAATAGAATTTTTGTCCATTGATTTGTAGCACAAAACATGTCACACTGTTTTTGTTTATATATATTTTACCTATATAATCCCAAAACATAACAAACATACCAATATTATGTACATGGTGCTCATCTCAATTAGGTAGCTACATTTTAAATAAAAAAAAGGAATGGGAAAATCTGAAGCTAGCAGAAAAATGCCAGAAGTTTACAGAACCAGAGCCTATTTATTTATTACTATGAATCTACCAAAATAAAATGGGCTCTACGTATAATTTCTACCATATAAAAAAAAAAAAAAATGAAAAACAAAGGAATGCCAGAAAATAAAATAATTTGGGCCAATCAAAAATAATTAGCACAAAGAGACTTTTGATGTTAACCAAAACCAAGCTTCACACCAGAGTCTGTAAGCCTGGTCAAAAGAATATAAGCTGACAGTTCTGGACTAGATGAGAAGGGACAGCAAGGAACAGGAGACATGAACACCAGATAAACCAGAAGGGACAGCATGGAACAGGAGCCATTGAACACCAGATAAACCAGCCATGCATGAAGTAGTTAAGAAGTCATTTGTTAATGATATTTTCTGCTCTTCTAAGGTCAGAAAACCACAGTAGGATAATGCTGACCTATTTTTAATATGACTTCTCGTCAAACGACCCACTACTGAGCTGAAACGGATTTTCTCTGGACTGCTACTAAGATCTGTCTTATAAACAAACATTTTACTTACCTGAATATCGAAGGACTAACTAATTCAAATCATATATTTATTATTTATTTTATACTCTTGAGTGAGTCAATTTTATTTCTGAAGTTCCAGTAAATAAACACCAAAAGTACTCTGGCAAATTACCACAAGCTGTTCTTGCATGTCATGCAATTTTCTTCTTTTCAGTAGACTAAATTATTGTAAACTTTAAAATATAATTCCTGTCAGCAAACTACTTAGTGTCCTTTTCCATTTAGACCCTTGATCTCTCAGTCATGTACAGTCTTTGACCTCCCCCCCATGTCATATTTCTCATTTACCCCTTCTCTTATTTATCTCCTGTATTTGTTTTTTATGTACCAACTAAACTATTCTCAAAGTTGTATTTATTTCTTTTTTTCTAGTTTCACGCTTTTGACTTTCAATAAAACCTGCTGATGAACAGGACTTTGTCTTCAGAGTTTTAATTGCCATAAGGTTGTCTTATTTTGTTGTCTTGAGGTATGCATACATGTGAAATGGACATGTGCCAGGAGGCAGTACAGAGAGTGTCGCAAAAACTTTAAAAATCTGATTCTTCCTCTGCTGAAAATGATGTTCATTATTTAGTTTAAATTATTTTTCATGCAAATTGAAACTTTTTAAGATCTTTATTTATTAATTTTTTTTTTTATATTGGTAGATTGATAAATTCTTTTTGTGACAGTTTCTATCATTTGACTGCTGAATATACATTGGTTTGATATTATGCATTTGTTTGTTAGCCTTTAAGAATTTATATTCTGCTAACAACATATGATATTTGCATTTTTTAACATACACTTTTTTCCAGGTTATCGAGCAGTATACCAATTTAAAGCATCAACAAAACTTAATTTCCAACAGGTAAATAATAACATTTCCTGAATTTCTAAAAATTACTGATTTGCAATTTTCAAATGTTAGCAAAACGAATTCTTTCTTATTTGCTTATCTAAATTTTTTGAGTTATTTTCATCTTTTATAAACAATGCTCTTCGAATGCTGTTAACATTGATATATTAACAAAATCAGTTCATCAAAGAGTTGGTTTGTGCAGAAGAAATCCATTTGCCTTCAAAAAGATTGAATGTGTGTGATTCCTCATGCCATTGTCTTCATGATTTAAAGAAAAACCGACCTCTGCATATATAGGTGACATCTATTATGAAATGGACTAATTATTTTAATATATTTATTGTTTATACAAGATTCTATGAGATTTCTCGGACATTCAAGCCAATAAATGTTGTTAATACTGTTTATTATAAACAACATTTACTTAAATATTTGTATTTATAAAAATAACATATAAACAATAAATATATTAAAATAGATGATATCTATATTAATGAACATATAGTGTTGGTGGCACATGTGAAGAAGCATTTCACAAGGTTTGGCCTAATCTGTAAGGATCCAGTGTGTTTAGGACATGGTGTATGAGTGTTGGGTTTACAGGTCTGTGGGGAGCACAGTAAACTTTGATGGATGTGTGAAAGTACCATTCCAGAAATCCCTGATGTCATCACATGACAGAATGTCATCTATGAAAGCTCGTAGAACATTTTCTTGTGTGTGGTTGGCTCAGTGTGGTCACAGTGTCCATCAAATGTAGAGTGAATACTATTACAGTGCTGTGCAGCGTTGGTGAACACTGGCTGCTCTTGCACGGTCGTGAGCAGGTCAGTTTGTTGTTTTTGGAGGAAGAGGGAGATTAAGGTGCTCACAGCAGATGGAAAGACACTAAGATGTTTTGAAGTTGGCAGCGTTCAGCTAAGTTTGAATGGTATGGATCAGGTTACGGTCTAAGTGTTGATTGTTGAGGGAATGGTTAGTCACCTGACGATCTGAAGAACAGAATACTGGAGTATTTCATTTCTGAAAACATTTGGAAAAATTACATGCTTCAGATGTGATGGGCAGAATCTCCTGGTGAGAAACAGACTCAAGCCCCACGGTGTTAGATTGATGCCATCAACAAAAAAAATGAACCTTTGAAGCATTTGTATGCGGCTTCTATAAAACGTTTTTTTAACTCCTAGCTAGATAATGGCCATCCATCCCCAGATTGATCATCCCAGGTTGAGAGTGACATGGTAATTTGTGTACCTGGCCAGTCTGTCAAAAAATGCTGTAAACTAGTGCCAAAAAATGTAAAGTGTATCAGTCTATAGACCTGTAGCAAGAAACAAAAAGTTATCTCCCCATGACCCAAAACAAAAATAGCATTAAAAAGTAATTATATTCACAAGAATAAAAAACAGTGACATGACGCCCGCATGAGGCATTATTAAGCAAGAAAGTCAATCTTTCTCTTTTTGCTCCATGAAGTTACGGTAATAAGACATACCCTTTTCATGCTCATGACAAACAGATATGTACAAAATTTATATTGTTTTTGGTACCCAAGTAGATATATGCAAACCTTGTATTAAGAATTTTGAATATAAAATATATACATAGAAGTGTTTTTATACAAATACTTTTGTGTTTTGTTTGAACTTTTCATATATTTATGTTGCTGTATGTTTCATCTACTTCAAACGAGGTCTGTTTTTCATTTCCCCACACTACATATTCGGTGACCATGATGAAAAGCACATTTTTTAAACTGACACAAAAGAAAAAAAGACAAATCCATAACACCATATCTGGTGAATTCCAATATCTATCTATCTATCTATATAACACATAGAAAAAAATAAAAATATAATGGAGCAAGAGCACCATGAGCCAACTGTCCTACAAATAACAATTAAGACACCTCAATTCCTGCAAACTAACATTACTAGTTGGTTCACAATTACTCAATCTCATTTCTATCCGAGAAATGTAACTTCATAAATCAACAAATTTTATAATGCTATTGCATCCCTACTTCTGGAAATGCTGGCAAAAATATCTAGCAACATTCTGGATACTCACAACTATGATGTGTTAAAAAAGACTTTAATTCAAACTAACAAATTAAGCCAGAACCGCTAGATAATGTCCACCTCCATTATTTCAGGCCAAATATCAATTTAACTTTACAAAATGTTGTCGATTGCCAAAAAAGATAGTCAAGAACATAGTTTTACATAAATTTTTACAAGTGTTACCATCTTCCATTGCCCTTGTGTTAGCAACACAAAAAGATTTAAAGCTGACCAGTCTGGGACAATTGTTGGATTAATTAATACCTTTAATACAAGACACTGCTAAAATAAGCATGTGTAACCAAATTCAGATGAAAGAAGTGCCTACCAAAACCACAACAATATGGTCTGAAAGCTTTCCAAAAGGGACAATTACAAATAATGTCAAGCACACATTTATTATGTGAATATGGCATGTTCATGTAAACAGTGGTGCAAATGGCCAAACAAAAAAAGAAACTTCATACAACAGTCAAGTTCACATCCATCTTCACCATCACCAAATGAAGTGGGAAACTATTTGGGTGGATGACAACATCCTCCAGGAATTTGCCATTATTACAGATACCAACAATATTATTGTCTGAGCCTGTAGCCATTGTTAGATATATATCTAACAATGGCTACAGGCTCAGACATACACTGCTAAGGCAAATTAAAACAGAGATAAGTCTACCGACCGTACAACGATCTTTTCTGTGGATGTTTATAGTAATGGACATTCAAACCCCCCCCCACTAGTATTCGACTTCCTAAACAATTTTGGTTCATTGATAGATTGCCAACAAAGGATGATCATCAATCCCAAATTGTGTTCAAAGAAACAACATTCATTGATTCTATCAACTTATTTGTGAATGATAATATGCCTGATTTCATTAAAGGCTTTCTAAAAATATATCCCAACATTATATCCCCACATACCAACCCAGCAAGCACATATGCAGGAGTATACCATAGAATTGATACAGCCAGTCATGTTCCTACTTTTGCTAAGGCTAGACGTCTAACAGAAGAGAAAACCCAGGCAGTAAAGAGGGAATTTTTGAAATTACAAAACAATGGTGTCATTACGCCTGATGGTGAATGAGCCAGCCCCTTAGACATGCTGTTACATTATATTTTAAACATATATCAACTTGCCAGAAAAAAAAAATTCAGAGACATACTAAATCTGCTATTCACCCTACTGAATTGCCTACTATTCGCTTTAATGTGGTACACTTGGATATAATTGGTCCACTTCCTGTTACTAGGAGACATTATGAAATATACAATACTCCTTACAGATACATGTTAACCTGCATTGATTGCACAACTAAGTGGATTGAAGCAGGACCATTACCAGATATAACAGCACAGTCTGTTGCCAATGCATTCATTTACGCATGAATCACATTTTGGGGTGTTCCACTTTGATAACCAATCATGGTACTCGGTCTGAGAGCAAATTGTTTTCAGAGATAGCCTCAATAGTTGGCTTCTATAGATTGGTCATGACTAATTATCATTTGCAAACGAATGGAATGATTGAACGTACATATAGAACATGAAGACAGCATTATTAGCTAGAAAGGAATCATGACTGGCCACCCTTCGATAAAATACTAACGGGTATGCGTACCACTTAATTCTTTTAATACTTCGTCCTTTGCAGTTACAGGAACACATGATTCCTCAGTTATTAATAGATGATATTAATGATAACAATGTACCTCAAACTTCTTATGTTCAACAGACAAAGATTATAGATCTGTAAATAAATCATTTCAATACATTCCTGACAAACTTAATGTTGTGGCCTTTTTAGGGGTCAGAAAAGAAAGACACAGAAGACGAAGGTAGGTTGAACAGGTGTATTGATATATCAGACATATACAAAGCAAGAGTGTTAGTAATAAGCAGATAGATGTGTCCGTCCGAACGATCAGGTTACACTGAGTCTTGGCTGTTCAATGACTGTCTTTACAACTGCCCTAGGAAGTCTCACAGTTAGTATTTATGAGAGGAGGAAGAGCTCATTCTACTGTAGGAGTGTTTACCACAACACCCCCATCCTAAGATCTTACTCCGCAGGAGTCTAAAGAAATTTTTTTTTTTTTTTTTTGGCAATTTTTTTGCTGACTTTGTGGATTTTGTTGCTGTTTTCTCCAGAAACTGAAACCTTTTGCACAAAAATGCTTACTCCCTTTCACTGGTCCAGGTTTTTTTCTTAAGTCTAACACAACGTTTTTCTGATCATCACCAGAGTTTGCTGAAACTGATGCAACTTTCTTTCTCTGTTTCTGTTTAGGGATAGAGGCCTGTGTTCCTTGAGCCAGTTTCTTTGCTTTGGCTACTTTGCCTCTAACATGAACTTCCTTCTTTTTTGTCTTGTCAGCATGAAGCACTTTCATCTTTACCTTGGCTAATTTCTTCAATTTCGCTTTCTTAGCAGCTAATTTTTTAGCCTTTTTAGATGAACTGTTCTTTGTTTCTACCTTTAATAGAACTCCATTTTTTACTAATCTGTCAAGTTCCTCATTAATTTGTTCCAACATGGTAAAAAGCACATTTCACTTCTTTTTGAACACTGGCTGGACGTTGTCTTGTTGTTCAATTTTTGTCATCATCTTGTTACACCTGCCTAACCCACTAGAAAAAATTTCTGGATAGGCTTCCTTCAGTTCTTTTTTCAGTTTTTCAGCTTCGGCATTCCAATTTTCAATTTTTTAGCAGTAAGAATTTATAGGTAAGTCCCAAAGTTGGAATTTTCATCCAATCAGTGTCAAATAGGTTGTTAGTATTTTTCAGAACAAACAACTTTAATTTAAGAGTCTTCCCATTGAATGTTATATTTGTAATCAATTCTCCTTCAAATTTAATTTTTTCCCCTGTTACTGATCTTGCAATCTTGCTAGATTTTATCATGGTTGGCTTACCCAATTTTTTCCATGTTTGCAAGTT